GCCTCTGTCGTGGGGTCTTGGTGTGCCCGGCCCTCATAAGATGGCGGTCGCATCGCCTCCTTGAGGCAGCTTCGCCACTCTCAATATGGTAGCTGTTTACACCATATTTCTCCTCCCCTCTCCGCCTCAACTTCCTCGTTGTTTTGAATAAACTTTATTGACTACTCCGAATTGCCTACCACCGCTACCAGGCTTCTCCCGGCGACTTTTCGGGCCATTTTCCTCCGACCTGGCCGCCGGTTCCTCTCCTTCCTCGTTGGTTTGCTCGCGGCGAACTCTTGCCGGCCCAGCGACAACGCCGCTCGCCCGGTCTCCCGGCGTCCGCCAGACTAGGCCCGATCCGCGGTCTCCAGTAGGCCCTAGCGCCTGGTCCGGGGCAGAGCTGTGAGGAAAGCCGCCCGGAAACAGCCTGGCAACCAGGGCCGCGCGACCCAACGGGTGGTCTTAGGGGCCGGCGAGCGAGGTTCGCGGCGTTGCTGTGACGATCCCAGAATTCGGCGCGCGCCGCTGGTGGGGCCAGAACTGCCAGACGAGCCTCGGCTGAGCGAGGCGCCGAGCTGCTCAGGAGCGAGCCCGGCTGCCGGTGCGTCGGTGGGACTGAGCTCTGCGGGCGGGAGGAATCCCTGCAGCTTTGTGGATGCGGAGGTCCTTGTAGGGCTGAGGATCGAAGACATTCTTGTCAGGTTGGGAGTGTGAGGAGGTTCCTGTCAGTTTGGGAGGTGTGAAGAGATTCTTGTAAGTTTCAGGCTGCAAGGATATTCCTGTCAGTTTCAAGATCTAAGAGGAGATTCCGGTCAGTTTGGAAGAACAGGGAAGCCCTCGTCAGTTTGAGGGGGCTATGAGGAGATGCCTGCCAGTTTCCGAGCGGTGGGAAGAAAACAAATCCTTGCTCAGTTGCAGTTGTGTGAGGAAATTCTCGTCAGTTTCAGGGAATTTTGAAGAGATCGTTTTTAGTTTCAGGGGTGCGATGAGAACCCGGTCATGTTTGAAGTAGAGAACGAGCTGATGAGTTTTGCAATTGAGATTTATTTCAGTTGTCGGGGTGATGAGGCTCCCGACTGGTCGGGGGTGGAATGATTGGGTGAGTTCTCAGAACATGACCCCCAGAACTGTGATTTGAGTTGGGCGCCTCTGTCTTGTTCCTGAAGGCACTGAAGAGATTTGCGAGTAATCTGAGCCCACATTCAGGGATCCCTCATCTCTCTCCAGTTGCCCCTATTTGGAGGGAGAGAGAAGGGGCTTTAGCTGAGCTCCCCTAGCCTCATTCTTGAGGCTAGGGCTTGCGTCATAATAAAGAGCGCCTTGGGAAGCAAGGTTGCGAGCAAAGAGAGGGTGCAGTGAGGGATTAAAGAAGCTTCTTTAAAGGAGTCAGATATTTCCTTGAAGCTCGGAAAGTTCTTACTGACTCTGAAGGCTAAAGAAGGTAGGGAGGGAGAAAAAATGCCTCGACGGCAGAGCGCCGTTCTTTATTTGTTAAAGGAATTCTGGAGGCGGGTGGACTTTCTCCGATTGCCCCCTACAGCCACACCAGCAGTGTTGCATCCCGGGCGCGGTAACTCCCCATTCGTGAAGTGAGGGTTGGTACCCTGGTGGAAATGATTCACTATAAAAAGTGTTTGTGCCCAGCCATCCTCCAGGAAGGACGCGTGCTGCCGCCTCCCGCTCCCCTGGACATTGCGAACCTGGCCCGCGGCAGAACGCTGCAAGACCAGGAGAAGATGGCCTCGGTGCCGGTGTATTGCCTCTGCCGGCTGCCTTACGATGTGACCCGTTTCATGATCGAGTGTGACATGTGCCAGGACTGGTTTCATGGCAGGTAAGGAAGGCAGGCCAGGTGCCACAGGGTGCAGTGGCCAAGTGCTCACTCGCTTCTTTCTCAGCTCTGTTTTAGGTTCCCAGTCAGAAACTTTTTTCCCCTCACTCCCTCAGAATTAACTCCAACCCACCTCCCAGCCCTAGGTTACTCCATCCCTTCTTATAGACTAGGGCCTAGTTGACATTGGCTTCTGATTTTTCTTATTTTTCTCTTTTCCCATATATATGTTATATGTACACCCTTCTTTTGAAAATTTTTTTTTAATTTAGAAAGTATTTTTTTCCCAGCTACTAAGTATCAGTTTTGTGTTTTGTCTCAGACTCTGGCTTTGGAAGAGACAATATTGCAATTTTGAGATAGTTGGGTCCAGCAAACATGGATTTGAGTTGTGGTTTGCACCTTACTATCAGAGTGACCTTGGGCAAGTTGCTTTGCCTCTCTGAGCCTCATTGTTTTCACTTATTAAATATATCTAATACATTCTTCCTGATTATTTAAAGCGTTTTGCATGCACTCAGTAAATGGAGGCAGAAATGCAGATGCAGTAATATTTTTATTTCCATAGTATTTATCTGCAGAACCATCTAACTAAAACGAATTAAGCAGAAGAGATATTTGGTAAAACAGGACTAAAACCACTAATGAATTCCGTCCAGTTTGCCATGTGTGCACATAAGCACCTGTCACCCAGGATTCCAGAGAGGTTAGTGTGTAGAATAAAACTAATATTATCCCATTATTGGGACTTAAATCCCAGCTATAGAAAGAATACCATGAGAGAGATTTGTACATTGAAGAACAACAAAACAGTATATGGCACCTTTCTCCTGTTGCATGTTGTTAGATTCTAGAATTTTAAGTTATCACTAGTCCCTTCCAAAGGAGCTGTTCCTGTTACCACACTCAAGACTAAACTGAAGGTGCTGGTGCTGCTAAAATTCTGCTCTTAGCAGGGACTGCCTCATGCAGCACATCCAAATTCATATTCAACTAATCTTTATTGAGTATTCGCTGTGTGCCAGGTGCAGGGTTCTTTTTATTGCCTCCTGTTATTTCATTTCAGAGGGGACAGACCTAGAGGGTAGGGCCTTTTCCTTTCCCCTGGAAATAAGTGGGGATTAAGATGTCTTTCAGGATTTCCAGTATCTTTGCTAGTGCTGATCAAGTCACTCCTCTGCTTAAGATTCTTTTAGTGGTTCCCCTACAGAATAAAATTCAGTCTTTGCATGACAGACAAGACCTTTCGCGGTCTACTTGTTCAGTCTCATTTCCCACCACTCCTCCTCTCTTGTCCCAGCAAAACTGAACTGCTTATAGTTCTGGGAAAATTTTATACTCCTTTGTGACTCTTTGTCTTTACACATGCTATTCCCACTAATGTCCTCCCTTTTACAACTTATAGCATACCTTCTCTGTAAAAGGCCTTCCTCTGGCTTCTCATTGCACTTTGTGTACATCCTTATTGAAAGTAATTATTTCATCATCATAGTTACATCTGTGTCACTCATCAGCCAGAGATACCTGAGGGCAGAGATGTCATCGTTTTATTTTTTGGTATCCCCAGAACCTAGTTCAATTGCTAAACATGTGATAGATGCTGAGTACATTTTTAAATTAAATTTATTGAGGTAACATTGGCTAATAACATGATATAAATTTCAGCTGTACAACATTATAATTCTGTATCTGTATACTCTATTGTTTGCTCACCATCAAAAGTCTAGTTTCCTTCTATTACCATATATTCGACCCCCTTTACCTAATTCACCCTTTCCCCATACCCCTTACATTTTTCAATGAACAGATGAGTTTTCTTGAAAAGAGCTATTCCCTGTGGCCCTTACTTTGGATTGTGTGGGAAGTGTGTAGGTTCAAACCTGGAAAGTGAACTCTCGCCCACAATATAGACCCTAACTCCACAGTCTGGGAACAGGAAACAGAAACAAATGCTTCCTCCGTGCTTACTATATGCTAGGCCCTATGACAGGATTTTGCATGAATTATCTCAATCCATACCAACCCCTGAAAATTAGATATTTATTTTTAAAATAATGTTTAAATTTTTCCTGATTATATAGGTGAAACGTGCTCATTGTAGAAAATACAGAAAAAGAATAAAGAAGGAAATAAAAATAACCTATGAGTCTACTATTTAGCACAATCCACTGTCACATTTTTTGTTGCATTAACTCCCGTCATTTGACTTAGAATATAAACATGTATTTTTACAACATGGGATTGTATTATGAATACTACTTTATAACCTGACTTTTATTCCTACTTAACATTATAATGTATTTTACCAGGTCGTTAAATATTCATCTAAACCTGATTTCTGATATCCCACTGTATATATGTGTCCTCAGTTACTTGGTCATTTCCTCTGTGGTTGGATGCTTATGTTATCTCTACTTTTTTTATGTAATAAATAATGTGATGTGAGGGAATCTGGGGGTTCTGGAAATGTTTTGTATTTTGATGTGGGTGCTAGTTAAAACAACAACAAAAAAAAACCATCGTAGTGAACATCTTTGCACAATAGAGACTTGATATTTAGAAGGAACACCACTGAGGCCTTTAAGAATTCCAAATTTACAAATATAGAAATAGAAATGGTTTATGAGCCAGGCCCCTCCTCAATCACATTTCTGTAGTGAATCTTGTTGTTTGTGGACACCATGACACAAGTTGGCTGTCTTAATTTTTTTTTTCTATGAAAGAGACCAAGTTTTTATCTTTTCTCATGCTCCTCTGTATGGGCTGCCAAGGAACAAGGAGGCCAGCTGAGAATGAGGTCCTTGGTGGGTGGCTGCTCTTGCTTACTCAGTGATTGCTCATACACATGCACCAGGCTCCCAGAGCTCCATTTAAGTTTGTACTTCATGATTAAAAATTACTAAATACCATGGACTTTCCATGGTTGCTCACCATAGTTAGGCCCACAGGTAGGTGATATAAATCTGCTCACATCTCTGATGACTTCCAGAGGCTAGATTTCTTAAAGTCCAGTTAGGGATTAATAATTCCAAGTTACTTCCTGGAAAGATTATAGCAAGGAAGGTGACTATTTCATTTTGCTTGGGAAAATTAGAAATTCATGGAGATTCAACTTCTTTCTGAGTCTAGATTTAAATTTAGAATTTCCTGGCTCCAGAGGCTAAGTTCCCAAAAGTGGAAAAAAGATGGTAAGCTCCATTCCCCCTACTTTAAAGGGCTGGGGTTTTGCAAAACACTTTGATTTGTAAAGCAGTGGTTCTTAAACTTTCGTGTGCATCAGAATTACTTAGAAGACCTATTAAAAGACAAGATAGATAGGCTCTACCTACAGGGTTTCTGATACAGTGGGTGAGTGGGAGCCACCTTCAGAACCACTGTTTTAGGGCATTATTCTGTGTCAGTTCCTTCTCTTTCTGTGGAATGTGACAGCATCTGATGTTGGGGGATTGGTGGGCTAACAAATTAATTACTGTACATGGTTCTCAAAATGTGGTTTATTAACTGGGAATTTGTTAAAAATGCAAATTCTTGGGCTAGAACGCAGCAATTTATATTTTAACAAACAGGTGGATTCTGATGCACTGTAACTTTTGAGAATCATTTTTCTACAATGGCGGCAAAAGTTAGTTGGCAAGCATTTATTGATGTCTGGGAATCTGGTGAAAACACCCCTTTATAGTTTTCCTATCAATAAAGGAAGTGTTAGCACAAGGGGATAACTGTTGTATGAACTGTAAACTCGAAGAAATGGCACTGGCTTTATATCTAGGTTCAAATTCTGATTCTGTTGCATTTTAGCAAAGGATTTCATCTCTGAAGTCTCAATTTCCCTGAGAGTAGTTGTGATGATTTAAATAAAATGGTAGTGGCCCTTGTTTATGGCGCATTAGCTAATGTGCCAGTCACTATGCTAAACACTTTGCCTAATTATCTTTATTTAATCTTTAGAGGAACTTAAAAATTATGAACTCAAATGATTTAATAGTCTTAGGACTATTCAAATGATCTATTTTATATTGGGTATGCTGTGATACTTTCTACTTTCCAAGGAATTTATCCAATTCATCTAAGTTGTTAAAGTATTCCCTTATTATTCTTTTGATATCTGCAGGCTGGGCGTCTTCTCTCTCTTTTTCTTTGTTAGACTTCCTTGAGGTTTGTCAGTTTTATTGATCTCTTCAAAGAACAAGTGCTTTGTTTCATTGATTTTTCTCTACCATCTTTCTATTTTCAATTTCATTGATTCATGCACTTTATTATTTCCTTTCTTCTGCTTGCCTGGATTTATTTTGCTTCTCTTTACCTAATTTCTGGAGAATGAAAGCTTAGGTAATTGATTCGAGACTGTTCCTGTTTTCTAATGTAAGCATTCAATGCTATTAATTTCCCTCCTAGTACTGATTTAACTGTCTCACAATTTTTGATATGTTTTCCTTTTCATGTAGTTCATTGTAAAGTAAATTTTAATTTCCTTAGAGGCTTCGTGTTTGACCTATGAATTATATAGAAGTGTGTTTAGTTTCCAAGTATTTGTAGATTTTCTTATTATCATTTTGTTATTGATTTATGGTTTGGTTCCATAGTGGTCAGAGAATATATATTGTATGCTTTCGATTCCTTTAAATTTTTTGAGGTTTGTTTTATGGCCCAGGATATGGTCTGTCTTAATGTTCCATGGTCACTCAGAAAGAATGTATATCTTGCTTTTGTTGAGTGGAATTTTCTATAAATGTCGATTTACCCCCGTTGGTTGATAGTGTTGCTGATGTCTTTTCTGTCCTTGTTGATTTTATATCTAGTTGTTCAGTTAGTTGTTGACGAAGTGTTGAAATGTCCAGCTATAATTATTGATTTGTCTGTTTTTCCTTTCAGTTCTGTCATTCGTTGCTTTACATTTTGCAGCTTTGTTGTTTGACCCATATGCATTTAGGATTGCTACGTCTTGGTGGATTGACCCTGTTATTATTATGTAATATCCTTCTCTGTCTTTGGTAATTTTCTTT